GTTGGTAACCAGCTGTCCTGAGTTGTTAAGCAGTGGCCCCATGCATCCACTTGTTTTCCTTCTGTTCCCTATATTCCTAAAGAAGGACCTCGTATTGTCCTTGATTTCTGTTTCTGGTTTAAATTCAGTCGCTGGCTTAGCCTTCTAATTTGTTCCCTACAAATGTGGGTCATTGTTGTATTGTCCTCCTTGGAGACTGTCCCAAGCTTCCATTGTTTGTATGCCTTCTTTTTCAAGAGGACCATAATATCCATATTAAACCAAGATGGCTTACCAACCCTTCTGCTACCTTTCTTCTGCATAGGAGTTGACTTCTTTTGTGCTTTGAGGATCATGTCCTTGAGGAATGACCACTCTTCATGCAGTCCTTTCACCTTCAGTCCCTAGTCCCACAGCATTTTCCCTACTGTTGCCCTGAGCCTGTTGAAATTCACTTTTTTGAAGTCCAGAACTTCAACCTTGCTAGTTGATTTGCCTGCCTTGTGACCAAGAGTGAATGTAATGGTTTCATGTTCGCTGTTGCCCAGGCTACCCTCTATATTCAAGTCACTCACCAAATAGTCTCCTTTGGCCAAGACCAAATCTAGAAGAGCATTACCTGTGGTTGACCTATGCACTTCCTGAATCAGGTAGAACTCTTTGATGCAGGTCAGGAAGCAACACTACCTATCTGACTTAATGTTCCTCCCAAGAGATGTCTGGGTAATTTAAGTCATCTATGATAACCATGTCCCATGCATGTGCGGCCTTTGCCAGTTATCGAGAGAACTCCAAATCGAGCTGCTCTCCCTGGTTTGGTGGTCTGTTGTATACACCTTCAGTTAGGTCTTTCTCATCACACCCCTGTCCCTCCTGCCCCCCTTAGTTTGACCGAGAGGGTTTCAAGCCACTCTTCTTTGGAGCCAAAGTCGGCCTCCAAGGAGTTGCACTGCTCCCTCACATAGAGAGCTAGACCTCTACCTTTCTTGCCTAGTTGGTCCCTTCTGTGTAGGGTGTAGCCCTCTATGGCTATGTTCCAATCATATGAGGAGTTACACCAGGTCTCCTTAATCCATACTAGATAGTAATACCTACTGGAGAGTAGGAGGGTTAGTTTCTCCTGCTTGTTTCCCATGGTTCTGGCATTAGTGCATGTTCTGGAGCCTGAGACAACCATTTTCCAGGCAGCTCTGGATGGGTCTTTTCAGCCAGCCTTCTTCTTGGTTACCTTCTCCTCTATTGTCTTCTCTTAAGATGATCAAAGGCCAAGAGAGCAATCCTTATGAGGAGAGCCTGAGGGACATGGGACTCTTCAGCCTGGAGAAGAGAAGGCTCGGGGGTACTTGGTGACAGCTTATATATATGGGGTGTGCAGCAGGATCTGGGAGAACAGTTTTTCACCAGGGCCCCCAAGGGATATCAAAGTCTAACAGCCATGAACTTCTGGAAGGCCGATTTAGACTGGACATAAGGAAAAGCTTCTTTACAGCCTGAGTGTCTGGAACAGGCTCCCCCCAGAGGTGGTGCAAGCACCTACTCTTGACTCATTCAAAAGATGTTTGGATGCTTATCTTGCTGGGATCATTTGACCCTAGCAGACTTTCTGCCTATGACAGTAGGGCTGGACTTGATCATCTCGCAAGGTCTCTTCCAGCCCCTAAAGTCTATGAAATTTATGTCTATGAAATCTAACCCTAATGCTGGTATTTCCAACTGTAGTACCTATCCTCCATCTCACATTTCTTTCCCCTACTATTTTCTTATTGTCTCTGGGACATCTGCTTCATCCCAAAAAAATCAGTTATAAGATCTCTCTATATATTTATTCACTCCAGCTCCCAGGTTTTTATGTATTAATATCAGTCTGTAAATGTCTGAACTTTCAGAATTTTCTTTTAGTGGAGTATACATGTATTCATGGTAAAAAAAAAAAAAAAAAGACTGACTTTTAAAAAATTCATTGTGGCGTGTTTAAAGTAGCTACCAGGTCTTTCTGTGCTCTTTCTAAACTGCAACTGGCACTATTTAACTCACAAGTTAAATTTGGAATTTAAAATGATTTTACAAACTGTTTGTCTTGAAATGATAAAAGATTGTAGCATACAGTTGGTACATCACAATTTTTGTCTACTTAATTGATAAAATGAAATATAAGATGAAGAGGTTAATAAAATGCTATTCAATGCTGCCAAAATAAGTTACATTTTTTTGATATCTAAATCTCATTTAATAGTCTTATAAACAGTAAAAATGTAAATTAGTTTGCAATAAAAAAAATTTTTCTTTCAATTAGATTAGTTAGGTGATCTCATGCAAATACTGTATTTCCTCACATACAGCACATCCCTAAATAAAGCATTTGCCTTGTTTTTGGAAGGCAGAATGTAGAAAAAGATGTTTCCAATGGTGTGATTCTTACTCCCCATTTAACATCCTGCATAAATGAGCTGTATTGCATGATCAGCTGCTATGGGAGGAATATACTTGACTAGGGCAAGAAAATCCACATTGAACTCAATTGTTCATTTGGTGCAGCTGTCTTCCCAGGAGAGGGAAGGACAGTTGGTTACACATCAAGTCTTCCAAAAACTAATAATACTATATTTCATGTCTACATTTGTGTTGTACCTCACTGTTTTAGCTGGATCCCAATGGCAATACTGAAATTGAAAGAGGTGGTTAGCAGTGCTAGTCTGAAATCAGGTTAGATTTGCATTTTCTAAACTAATTTTGATTCTGGGACACTACAATCCATCTACATAGCTAGATATCCTGGAATTTGTATTTTGTTGTTGCTATGCTCTTTCTACAAAATCTAGTAAAAATAATATCATGATATTAGATACAAATATTTGGCAATTGTGTGCATAAGAGCAAAGTATAAAAATTCTGCTTTGTCATAAATATTGCTATTTAGAAATTGTAGATTAAAAGAAAATGTTTTAAGGGTTGATCAAATGCAGTTAAAAAATAGCTTGAAAATATGTTCAACTGAAAAGTTCTACAGAAACTTGGATTAGTTTCCCAGTTGAGCTCTGAGTAAAAAGCGTCCAAAGTGATTATAACATGCATGAGATGGCTGAGAGCTATATCTGTAAGAATAAATGAATAAGTGATAGTGGGGCTGATTGTTCCTCTTTACAAACCAGATATGTTAAAGAAACTGTTTATCTCAAGGCTGATCCTTATTAAAAAATACCACATAAGCTGAAATATAGTCAGAGCTTATGAGAAGGTAATGCAAATTGGGAACCTTGCACACAACTATATATAAATGAAACATATAGTAGACAAGAAAATTAAAGAAAAATATAATAACTTTATGGTTTTGGCATTTGGACCTGACTATCTCTTCAGCTTTTCTCCTAACAGTGAAGAAAATTCAAAACACTGAAGAATTGTATATGACCAGTAACTTCACTTGCTCTTGGGGTGGATATATATTGTTAATATGGCACTTTAAAGAACAAATTCTGAAATCTTGCCTGGTCTCAAAGGGCTACAAGTGTACAGGAAGTGTATCTGTCTTATCTGTTCTCTTTCTGTAGTGCAAATTGGATTATACAATCTACTAGTTATTGTCACTGCATGTTTTAATTTACAAGGACAGTATCATAGCATTAGGTGCCCATTTGTATGATGCTAACATAAACAACCAGCATAAAGTTTGGTTCTGTTCTGACAAGTGACAGTAAAAATGACATTGTAGGCTCCTATTCTTATTGAATTTAAAGATTTCCATATCATATGTGCTCAGCTGATAAACTGCAGACATTTTTCAGAAGTGACAGCAGTGCAAATTAGTTCTGGGAGCTAATAGGCAATCTGAATCTCTGCTTCTTGCATATCATCACCAATATTAAGGTTCTGTGGGCCAATTTATGGCTTTGGTGACAACTGTTCATCTTTATATGTGAAAGATTAAAGTTTTCTTTGATGAAAATTTTTCTTTAATTTGACTGATTAATGTGATAAAGAGGTTTGATTGAATATTGGTTTTAAACTTGAATAAGTTAGACTTAAAAAAGGCTGTACTGTATCTACACAGGTCTGATGGTGGTAGAGAATTATGAGAAGTGGAAATAAGGGAAGAAATGAGAGCTACCAGGCTTCAAAACATGGCTCATATGTTCAGAACTCGGAACTGCCTATATTCTAAAATAAACAAAAATCAGAGATTTTCTGGGTTTTGGTAACTGTGTAAATCACTGAAACTCTACCTTCATACTTCATCCATGTAATCATAGCCCTGAAATGGGCTGTTTAAAGAGGTGTCCTCAAACAGAATGAAACTCAGTCTGTCTTGACCCTCCAGATCTCCCTGGTTTCAGCTTTGAGTTGAAAGTAGGCAGAATTCAAATCTAACACAGTGTATTGAAGGGAAATCTCAGAGGTTTCAGCTGCATTCTACTGTGTTTTCTCAACTTAAACTGAAGGAAAAACTAGGTTTGGTAATTTATCCTAACAAAAACAAAGTTAAATCCAAAAACAATTCACTTTGAAAGTTCATTACATTGTACAGAATCTACATGGCAAGTCTGAATATGGAATGAGAACTTAATTACTGTATTTATTCAAATATAAGATGACCCTGATTGTAAGTAAAATCCCTAGTAATTAGATTCTATATATGAAAAACTTATAAATTTGTTATAATTTTCCAGGTATAGAATCTGACTATTGGAAATATGCCTTGAATTTTAACCCCCTCCCACTGCTTCAATAAGGAAAATAGGTCTCAGAGGGTCAGGTAGACCCTTTGTCCTTTTCAAATTCCCTTCCCCACCCCTCCCCCCCAACTTCTTTCTCCCGCAGCCTCTTTCTCACTGTCAAACCCTGCTCTTTTTGGACATGTCCAGATGAGTGGGAACATGTGTTTCCTTCAGGACAAGTAGCAGCAGAACATCTTGTGCCACTGCTACTTATCCCCAGGGAACACCCATGCAAGTCACATTCTGGTATGTGGCAGGTTACATCAGGTGGTGTAAGGGAAACTGGGGCCAGCAACTGTGCTGGACTCAGTAGCTTTACCAACAGTCCCACCTCTGGGAGCTGTAGGCACAGTGCTCCTACAGCAGGAAGTCTGGCCAGTAGCTGGAGTGTGGATCTGGCCAACCAGACTCCATTTTTGGGCAGCACACACTGCCACCACATGCACTGCCCCATTTTATTTGGCATAGGGGTTTTGGTCCTAGGATCCCTAGTAGCAGCATGGGGAATACCTGAATGTGTGGTGCTGCAGATGGGTTTGCGGACCTGCATACCACACTTCTGCACTCATCTGGACATGCCCTTTGAGAACATGGAAGTGAAAAGCAGGTTTGAAAACACTGATTTAGAAATAAACATACTTGCAGTAATGTGCAGTCCTTGCTGCCACATGCATGTACTCCAGAACTATAACATATCATGGGCCTCTGGTGCCTGCAGGCCAGTGCTTGCATTTGCGCCACCCCCGCCCTCTGGGGATGATCTGAGCAGGGTACAGGGCTCTGCCTTCCACCCCATGGCACTTCCATGGGGGAATTAGCAGTGCGGCACACTGGCTGTGGGGGAAGGGGCAGTGGCTGGAATTTCCAGCTGGAATGGCCAAAGAAAGTCACAACCCACTAGGTGGCAGGGTGGACCACCCGCAAAACATGGGAGGCACCCTGACCTGTCCAGCTGGCACCTCCCCCGCCAAGGCCAGCACCCATTTTCTCCCTTCCCCACTTGGTACGCCACCGCTCCAGATAGCCCCCACGGAAAAGATCCATGTGCTACTAGAACTAGGTGCTCTTGTCATGAGTCCTGGGGTCCTCCAAAAATTTATATGCAGATGAAACACAGGACAACCTGTCTGGCTTCATGTCATGGAGGGTGGAACCACACTCATCATATGCAAAAAGGTGAGAGAGGAGGTAACAGTAGGATTCTGGGTAAGCTGCTTGGGACCCTGTTCAGTGATATTTGCCAGACATTTAAGGCTTTTAAAAAAACAGGACTCATTGGACGTGGGAGAGAAAGGTACAGCTCAGTTGTGGGAGTGAAGAAGTCAAAATGTAGTCAGTATAGTGACTCACCATGACTTGAAGAAAAATCAGTGCTGTGGGGGACTGAGTACAATGGACACTACTATACATCTTATTCGGATGGTTTACACTAGCATATTCTTGTGGTAAGTTCTCATCAATGTGTTTGGACTTGGCAGGGGAAATACCATGACCATCAGAGCAGTTTTCCTAGTCACACTCAGGGTAATCACTTTTCTGGCATGGGGTAATACCCATGGAGGATAATGTATAGTAAATTTGCCACTTGCTGCTTGAGTGGGAAGATTTTAGTTTTATGCCCTCTTTATGGAAATGGGACACTCCTCCCTAGCTTGCTCCTATGGCCTTATGGCTGAGGGCAAGCGAAACTCGGGAGCATCTGAGCTCCAAGCCTCCAGGCTTGGGCCTGCATGTAGGATGCCTGCCAAAGGATTTGGAAACATCTGAAGCCCCAGGTGGGGTGAAGGATGTTTGCTGGTAGTAAGGCCACTTATGGTTCTTGACTGATTCACAGATTTGGAATTGTTTTGGCTGATTTGGATTAGAACATGAAAAATTATCTTTAAAAAAAAAAGTGTTTGGACCATATGAGCCACGTTGTTTATAGTCAAGCTTAGTGTTGGCTGCACTTAATCAATGTCATAGTTAGTTTCTATTATGAAGTACATGCTTCCTTTGGCAGCAGTTGAATGATAGATGATGTTTTCAGTGAGTTTTCCTTGTATGTTAATGTAAGACAAGGGGTTTTCCCCCTCATACTGATCGGGCAAAAATACATCTTATATTCAAATAAATATGGTAACTATAATAAGATTTTTTTATTATTATTAAATTCTTTCTTTTTACTCGACTACAGAATTTTTACATGACTGTTTTTTTATTTGTCATAACTGCATGGCTCAGGTGAATGAAAGATTCCACTGTATAGGCAAGGAAGATCATGATTCTGTTGCACCTCACCTGAACACTTATTTATATTCCTAAAAATGAAATACAGGAGTGAGAGGATACCCCCCTGCACTTTCAACTACCTAAAAATAGAAATGTACATTTTTAAAAGAGGAAAGAAAGGCTAATCCTGAAGCAGCACTTTTGAGTTGTGTAGGTGCTTTTATTTTTATTTTTGGAAATCAGCTAAGAGACTAGAAGAGTTATATTTATATTACTATGAATAGGGAAAAGGAAGAGAGAGGCTTTTTAAAAGACTAAGTCTTGATCCTTTCTCAATGACTAGTTGAGAAGGCACTTCAAGCATAACAAAAAAGAAAAGTTGCAGAAGAGAAATCTTCCAGTCATATCTTGGAGATGTGGTTACAGAGCAGCCCTGAGGGCCAAGCCAAAAACACTGTATTTATCTGGAGAGCTTCCATATCAGTTCTTCATATCCACTCAGCCCCCCTGTTGACAACAGAACACTTCTACCTTGCACCTTATTCTCTCTGCACAATAACAGCCAGTAATTACCCACTTTCATGCATGGTATTGACCTAGTAGTGGCTGTCAGTTTAAAATAGAAACTTAATTGTGACACAACCAGGTACAGATGTTCAGTTTCTACCTGAAGAATTACAGTTCTCGCAGTAGAAACCAAAATGAACAAATACTCAAGCTTTTTCTCCCAGATAAATAATGGCCACTTCAAGAGAAAAGTAACCCAGGAACAACCAGGGTTATCTAACTCCCAGGAGAGTTTCTCCTAGAAGCCTGAAAATCCATACGCTTTCTCCTGACTTAACTTCTTTCAGGGACCAGGAAGAGATTAGCCGGGGGAAAGGTTCCTGTGTCTTCCTAAGACAGAAGTCACCCCAGCCTTGAGAAAGTGTGGAGGCCACTCCCACACTCCCATGGACTGGAAGGTGAGGGGAACAGCAGACACTGCTCCCTGGTTTTGGGAAGAGAAAGAGGGCTTTTGGCTGCTACCAGCTCCCCCTTGCTGCCCTCACTGCCTGGCTAAGAAGTGGGACAGTAATTTAAAAGCTGGGAGCCAAGTGCAGAGCTCCAAGAATATCTTCCTTCTGGCTCTCCTGTACTGTCTCACTACCCAGCTGAGTGGCACAGTGATAATTTGCCAGCATCTGGGAGCAGGGCCCATGGTCCCACTTCCATCTGCCAGCTTTTAAATTTCCATCCCTGTGCTCAGCAGCAATGGTGAGCTAGGAGTCAGGCTGGGGAAGGCCTCCACACTCCCAGCTCTTATCCCCTTGGCTTTTAAAGTACTATCGCTGATGCTCACTTGTATGGCAGGGGGGAAGGGGAAGCCAGAGAGACTGGAAGTTTTGAGGCTTTCCCTAGCTCAGCCCCTGACCTCTCCATCTTTCCTTTGTTGCCCATGCTTCCCAGATGACATGGAGCAATGCAGGAGCCTTGCCACTGAAGCAAAATGGCACCTCTTTATCCTACACTGGTCTGGGTCAGCCCAGAGAAGCACAGGAGGAAGTGGACTGCCATGCCAATGCTGCAAGGCTCCCAGAGCCTAGTCACAGTGACTGAGTGCTCCTCAACCCTGCACTCCAACCAGTCAGACAGGAGGAGCACAAGGAGAAGGGCTATTCTCTTCTGGGGATAACCAGGAAGGTTCTAACCTCCAGAAAATGCTGCTCTCCTGCCAGGCAGCTGACTGGCAGGGTGGGATGGCATTCAACTCAGGGCTTAGACCCTCTCAGGGCTGTCTGTGGCAGGTACTGCTTTCCAGCAGCTGCTAACTGCTAGTTGACAGCCTGCCCCTTTTCCTGACAAGGGAGCGGATGGCCTGTCAATTAATAGGCTCCCTTAAGGGCAGGGGTGATCCAGGGAGAAGCCTTTTAGGTCCCCTGGCTGGAGAGCTTGCCTATGAAGCTCTCCAGCCATTGGGCTGGGGAACCATATGTGTGCTCCAGCTCCGTGGCTATTTTTCTATTGGAAGAAATTTCATTAGAAATTAACATCTGTACATAGTCACATACTAAATTGTGTGTGTGTTCAGGACTTAAAGTGTTTCAAAGAAATGCTGTTCTTGTCATGGCCCAGGGGTAGAATTTAAATAAATTGACTACAACAAAACTGGGATAACTTAAGTACATGTGAAATCTCCTTGCAACAGCTACTGAGCAATCTAAAGTATCATTTCTTTTGACCAAATTTATCTACTTCAACATCTGGGCTGTCATGATATTGTGTTATTCAGAGAGCATCATTTGCTTTAACATGTTTTTAGGACTAAAGCACAGGGATTCTAGGTGTGATTCCCAGTTGTGACAGCTGTGGAATTACTGTGTGACCTTATACAGATCACTTGAAATTTCCTTTATCTCAGTTTACAGATCCTCTGTAAAATGGAATTAGTATATTTACAGCTGTGGTAAGTGTGTAGTTAGGACTTGTTTGTAAAATGCTTTAGCCTAGAAAAGCTTGAATTGCTAATATCAATTATTAGGCACCTTGTCAACTAACTGACATAAAGACACACAAGGTTTTGTGAACAGGAGCTCACTTCATTAGATATTAATAATCACCAATTATTATGTATTTATAGTGGCTTGGAATAGTATCCTTTCAAAATGACTAAAGTTGGTGTAATTTTAAGGAAGCAGTAATTCTCTTACTGCTTGCATCTAATCTCAGATTGTTTCAATATAAAATATGCTATAAAAGATGTCACTTTAGTTTCAGATACTGGAGAGTCAAACATTTACTTTTGTCTTCTAGTGTCCTGTCCTTTTCCTCATTTACAGTAACTTAGTATTTCTTCTCATATCATTTTATTTCTAGCTCTTTAATATTCTTCCTGACACAAAAAAACCTTTATTGATTTTAACTGAGTTTTTAAATCTTGGTGAAAGCTATAATGGTAAATTTGCTCTCTAAGTATTTTATCCAGAGTTTATTAAGTTCTGAAGTTTACGAACTGGAAAAATGTTTGCACTTAACACTGGTCAGAATTCAACCTTACATCTACCACCAGCATTACACAGCATGGAAAGGGCTAATTATTTAACTTGTACATATTAGATAAAAGTAGTGTTAAGGTTTAAAAGTGGCTTCAGTTATAAACTATAATACAGGATAATTGTATTTGTACAGTGTAGTCACCAAAAATTGGAGGACTAAATAATACACCTATACTTTTATAAGCCAAGAAGAGGACATAATTTAAGAGGGGGTAGTTTTGCTCCATATGCCACACACAGGGATAGGAACACTTTTATTCAGTTATATTCCATGTCCTTGAAGGTAGAAACTATACGGACGTGCCCTGATACAAAGCTGAATAAAATCAGTGGCCCAAGAGCTATTAGATAGAGCTAATAAGAAACTGCTTGCTTACATGTGATTTTACAGTTTTTCCAGCTGATGCAGTTCTAGATGGGGACAGATCTCATACTCCAGTGTAGTCCCCTCGAGTCAGAGGTTCTAGGTTCTGTTTTCCTGCTGTGCCATCAAAGGAATTCCTGGTTGGCTTTGGACACATAACTGCAATTCCTCTGTCACAGTTTCCTCATCTGTAAAAAGGGATGCTTGTGAGGATTAACATGTTGGCAGGTGCTTGAGTTTCTTGGCTGGAGGGTGTTTTTGGACAAAAATATCATCATTATTTGCTTACAATGACTTGGAAATAGATCTGAGATCATAGTGAAAGCTTCATGGGTTACAAGAACTCTATTTTTCTAGTCAACATTGTACTTGTTCTTTTGAGCTAGGTACAGACATTACATTTAATGCATGTTGAGCGCACAGAAAGTGCTTTAAAGCTGTAACAGAACAGGCATTCACAGCACTTAAAGCACTTCAAAAATGGCAGATCCCACTCTAAGTTAACCCTCAATGGATGTGGTATTAAACTAAAGTGCTTTAAGTTAGAGTGCTTTTTTGAACATCTGTACCACACCCATTATGCTTCAATGCAGGTTGCATTCTGCCACCACCCCAGGGGCCCCTCACAGGGCAACTCCCACCATGAGGCCTCCCCCCACAGTTTGTTGGCTGGGGTCTCACAGTGGGTATGGCGGGGGGGCTCCCTTCTTCCTGGCCTGAGCCTCTTGATAGCTGCAGCCAAGAGCTCCAGTGTGGGGCTGCCCAGCCAAAGCTGGGGGGATGGGAGCAAGCTGTGGGGAGGCCCTCATGGTGTGTGGGGGGGTTCCTTCACACCCCTCTTTTCTCCCAGCTGCTGCTGACAGTCACCAGCTGGCAGGGGACTGAGGGTGGGCGTGGGGGTGGGGCTGGTCCTGGCAGCCTCTTGGGAGGTGTGTGGGAGCACGCCCCACCTGCTGGCCTTGGCCAGTACAGGCAGGCACCAAGCCCTCCCCTCTAGTGCATGGCAGAAGTCTGTTTAGCTCATTCCTGCTCTAACTTAGAGCACTTTAAGTAAAGTATGATAGCTAAAGCACATCCATCAAGGGCTTTTTGAACTTCGGTACTTAGTCTTGATTAATAAAGTGTTTCATTTCTCATTTTTTCTATTTGTTATTATACTAAGAATTATTAGCTTTTGTAGCTCAAATACATTAGAAAGTAAACACAATGTCTCCAGTATTAAAATTGAAGGTGACTTTAGCAGTTTGTCACTTTACTGTAAGCTCTTATAATTATTTTTCTTGCTTTTTTAGTGTAAAACTCTGTCTGGGATCTGTGATCACATCATTTCTCTCTCATCTGATTCTCTGGTGTCTCAGTCAGCACATCTAGAAGTAGTTCATCTTACCAGCATTATGCCCAGTGAGGGTTTGGTAAGTAAATGTAAACTAAAACTATTTGAATGTAGAACACATGTGACAATTTAGAGTGTTTTCTTCTTTAACCTGTCGAGAAAACAAAATGTTTCCTTCTCTTTTCACTTATGCAGGTTTCAGCTTACCTACAGTCTGTATCTATGATAAAGTAAAATAAAAATGTACAGTAAGGTCCCATAGGTAAGCGAGAAAATATATTAGCAGCAGAAATAGATTTATAATATATAGTTAGTTGTAATATAGATGCTGGATAACAGCAATGTTATTGATTTTGTTTTGATACTTAAGGATTTGTCTTCAAATATTAGCAATAAATTAGCTGGAAAAAGTAAAGTAAAATGTTACAAATCACTTAAAAAGGACCATATGTATTTCCTTAATATTCACTTTAGGTAAAGGTCTTCTGTAAAGCTTACTTCAAATTTCAGCAAGGCTATTAAGAAAGATCAAAACAAAAGATTTGTCAGTGGTTATTTATGAAATGGACTGTGGGTCCAATTACAAGCTGGTTTGCATTATCAGGTGATGCAGTGATCACTGCTCAATTTCGCTTATAAAATAATTTATAATTACAGCTTACTCTTATCAAGAAAGCAGGAAAAAACAACCAGGACACATTTGTAAATATGGGCTATGTTTCCTTATGTATGTGGTATTACAGTTCTCATTTCTATTTCAATGCTATTGCCAGATTTCTTAGTTGTTGCTAATAGTAAAACCTTAATCTCAAGATTTTAGCCTTCTGAAGTGAAGTCTTGAAGATTTTAGTCTTTGGAATTTCAATAAACATCTGCAAGCTTTGTTGACTTTATTTGGATATGATTATTGTTAAAGTCCTATGATTAACCTATTGATTTATATTATATGTATATTATGGCATATGGAATTATTTTATTGTATTCATGTATTAGTTTAGGAAATAGCAGGATTTGTGGGAAACAACCAAGAGAGTAACACAGTCAGAGAAAATTTACCCCAAATGAAGCTTAGATTAACTTAAGAAATACTTGAGCCCACCTCTTTGGGCTCCAGCCTGCAGTTGCACAGCTGCTTTATCCATGCTGGAAAACCACAGATCAAAACCTGGAAAGAGTGGAAAATTCTGGCTTTCAAGGCAGGATGCAGTTGTCAGAAGCTGTTCACACAAGGAGCAGGCTGGCACAATCACAAGCTCTGCAGCTGACCCTCCCTAAACTTTGAGAGGATGATAAGATTTAGGAAGATATGCATATAGACTTTTATTTTCTCTTAGGATTACGAAACACCTTTTTTTTTGTTTTACTCTGTGACTCTACCATGAACAACTAGTTTTCTGTTTCAAGACATTTCTGGTGGACACAAGTCCAGTCCCTTTTCCTAAGAAGAATGTGTTTCATCCAGGCCCATTTCTTACAAAAAAATGCCTTAACAGCAGAGTTCTTCAAATGAGGGTTCTAAGATAATACTTTTAAAGTGCTTCCTTGGATACACTGAGGATCATTTAACAAATATGACCATATTTGGTAAAAGTAAAACAGAAAAGGTTTAAAATAAAAATATTAGAGTACTTGGAAAAATGTTTTATTTTAAATTAAAAATAAAGAGACTTATATTTCATATGATAATAGAACTCACCAGGTAATTGTGGTTGACAGTTTTAAAATATTCCCAAAATATTTTCTGATTCATTTTCATGGCAGAAATGGATTTTATAGATACTTACCTCAGTGAATTGCTTCTGGTTTCTTTCATTGGTTCTTTTCCAGTTGAAATTGGATAAAACGTTTTCTAAATAAGCATGACTTATTATTAGTATTTTTGTGGGGAACGTAGATTTCATAGATTTTAAGGTTTTAGGGACCTATTAGATCATCGAGTCCAACCCCCTGACCTGGGCAGGACAGAGTGTTGGGGTCGGATGACCCCAGCCAGATATTTGTCCAATCTTCTCTTAAATACCTGCAAGGAAGTGAACAGCACCACCTCCCTTGGAAGCTTATTCCATATTTGGCAACCCTCACTATAAAGAATTTTTTCCTGATGTCTAATATAAATTTGCTTTCCTTCAGTTTGTGGCCATTGTTTCTAGTTACCCTGATGGGCACCCTGGTAAGCATTGTATCCCCTATTTCCTGCTGTCCCTTCCTGATGAGTTTGTAGACAGTCACAAGATCACTTGTCAGCCTTCTCTTGTGGAGACTGAAGAGATTCAGGTCCATCAATTGTTCTTCATAGGGTTTTTCCTGTAGGCTTTTAACCAGATGGGTGGTCCTCCTCTGAACTGTTTCCAGGTTATCTACATCCCTCTTGAAGCACAGTGCCCAAAACTGGATGCAGTACTCCAGCTGTGGCCTGACCAATGCCGCATAGATGGGAAGTATCACCTCCTTAGACTTGTTTGTGATGCACGTACTTATGCAAGAAAGAGTATGGTTAGCTTTACGTATTACTTAATCACAATGGCTCCTCATGTTCATTTTGGAGTAAACTATGACTCCGAGATCCCTTTCCGCAGTTGTGCTACTTAGAATGGTACCTCCCAGGCTATAGGTACACTGATGATTCTTCCTCCCTAGGTGCAACACATGGCACTTATCTTTGTTAAATTTCATCCTAATCTGTTCTGTCCACTTGCCCAGCCTGTCCATATCCACCTGGATTCACTCTCTGCCCTCTAGTTTGTTTACCTCACCCCATAGTTTGGTGTCATCTGCAAACTTGGTAGAATGCTTTCTACTCCCTCATCCAAGTCACTAATGAAGATATTGAACACTACTGGTCCCAGGACGGAGCCTTAGAGGATTCCACTGCCCACATTTCTCCAGGTAGAAACTGACCCATTCACCACCACTCTGGGTATGTCCCATAAGCCAATTTTCCACCCACCGGACTGTGTAATAATCTACATTGCAACTGTTTAGTTTATTTATAAGAATTGCATGTGACACTATGTCAAAGGCCTTTTTAAAATTTAAGTAAATAACACCTACCTCTATTCCTTCATTCAAGCAGTTTGCCACCAGGTCATAAAAAGAAACCAGGTTAGTCAGGCAGGATCTGTCTGTTATGAACCCATTCTGGTTGTCCCTTAGCATTATTTTACCTGCTAGTCCCCCACAAATGTGAACCATAACAATTTTCTCAAAGGTCTTGCCAAGGATAGAGGTGAGGCTAACGAGGCTATAGTTACCTGGTTCCTCCTTCCTCCCCTTCTTGAAAATAAGGACCACACTGGCCCTTTTCCAGTCCTCTGGGACCTGTTCTGAGCACCACAAGTGCTCAAACAGTCACGCCAGTGGTCCCACTATGACCCCAGCTAATTCCCTAAGTACCCTAGGATGAAGATCATCAGGGCCTGTAGACTTAAATACATCCAACCCCTCCAAGTCCTCCTTTACTAGGTCAGTGCTAACACTTGGTGAGTTGGTATCTATCTCATGCTTACCTAAAGTGCCATTGGGATGCATGCCTGTATCCATGTCCAGGAACACAGATGCAAAGAACTCATTTAGGAGCTCTGCTTCGGTCATCCTATCTGTTACCAGTTGCCCTAATCCATCTTGAAGGGGCCCGGTGTTACCCTGCACTTTCTTTTTGCTTCCTATATATTTAAAGAATGACTTTTTGTTGTCTTTAACTTTTGCTGCCAGCCTAAGCTCCAATTCTACTTTGGCGTTTCTCACTGCTTCCCTGTAAGCTCAAGCCAAGCAGGTATACTACTCCTTGGTGGCTACCCCCTGCCTCCACAGCATGTAGGCCTCTCTTTTCCCTTCCAGGCTCCAGGAGGGTTTCTTTGCTCTTTTGCCCCCCTTTATGTGTACTGGGATGGTCTTTTTCTGTGCCTGCAGGATCAGTCCCTTGAGAAATGCCCACCCTTCTTAGACTCCCATCTCTCCAGTGCTTTTACCCATAAGTCCCTCCCTAACTAATCTCTTGAGCTTGTTAAAGTTGTCCTTCCTGAAGTCTAGCACTTCAGCCCTACTAGTTATCTTTCCCACCTTTTGCTGGATAGTGAACTCTATCAATGGGTGGTCACTATCCCCTAAGTTACCTTGTACCTGCAGCTCCCCTGCCAAGCCATCCCCTTTGGCCAGCACCAAGTCGTTTCCCCTAGTCGGAACATTTACCTCCTGTGTTAGGTGAAGGTCCTGTAAGCAGATTAGAAACTTATGTGAATGGGCAGATCTAGCTGTAGTAAACTAATAAACCGGGTTTTCATTTCTGAAAACCTGAAGCAGTTTTATTATTATCCCTAATTGTTGTTTACCTAAATTCTTTACAAATGTTATATGATTAAAAAAAAAAAGTTCACTCATCACTGAAATAAAGCCACCTATGGGGTAGAATATGGCTGCTTATTATGCACAGCTATTCCAGATGAGAAAGCCAAAATTTTTAACAAGTTCTTTGCCTCTGTTTTCTTAGACAGGGACCAGGACCGTTCTCCCACCATAGGTAGGGACAGTCTTGGGGATAGCACTGCCAGGCTTTGGGTCTGCACAGAAGTAGTTAGGGATTTTCTGGAAGGGCTGGATGTTTTTAAATCTATGGGCCCTGATGCCCTCCACCCATGGGTGTTGAGAGAGACAGCAGGGGTCATTGCTGTGCCCTTGGCCCGGCTGTATGAGCGATCATTGTCCATGGGCCAGGTGTCCAGAGATTGGAAACTAGCTAATGTGGTCCCTATTCATAAGAAAGGGAGAAAGGAGGACCCAGGAAGCTATAGGCCCATAAGCCTCACATCGGTTTTGGGGAACATTATCAAGGATCACATCTGTGAGGGGCCAGCAGGGGAGATCATGCCCAGGGGAAATCAACATGGGTTCATCAAAGGCAGGTCCTGCCAGACCAACCTGATGGCCTTTTATGACCAGGTAACTAAATCCCTGGATGATGGTGTCACCGTAGACGTAGTCTTTCTGGACTTTAAGAAGGCCTTCAACACTGTCTCTTACCCCATTCTCATTAATAAATTGAGCAACTGTGGCACTGATGCCTACACAGTTGGATGGGTCAAA